TCACAGGATCCACCAGACAAACAAATTAATAGCTTTTTAATAGTACTTCAAAATTGAAATTTCGGAACACTACCAAATTGATGAACATATCAACCGGCCACTTCCAGAAGATTGAAAATTACATCTGTAATTCAAATACTAAGCAGTTGTTGTCTACTGTGGTAATTATCTTTGTTGTTATTAAAAACAGGTATTATGGACTCTTAAAATTCCTCTGCAAACTCTGTATCGTGTTGGAACCTTAGTCGAAATGTAGGCAAATTGAATCTTGCCAATAGGTAGGTAACGGTTATGTTGGATCGTAATGCAATAGCCTACAATTATAATCGGCTTCAGTTAGAACCTGTGTAGTGATACCGGCATATGTGGCAATGTGAAAAGCAATTATATCGTAGTTTTGTACTTCCCCAACATTTTTCTTTTGTTCCAAGTGCCAGAGAGGTTGCAACATTCGACTTACTCAATTAGTTTGGCATTGAATTTTATAAAGCGTAGCTATAAAAAACATATTTTTATTTGAATCGCCCTATATATTTGTGCATTCTATGATTCTTTCCAGATATATTGGTAGAAATGTTTATTATGAGGCTGTAATCGTTTTGAACTTTAATACTGCACAGCAAGTAAACGTAAACATTACAATACGAAATAAACTTATAACGCTAGGCAAGTAGTTTTTTACTACGCGCATCATCAACTTAAATTTCTACATGTCTTTCATTTTCGTAGGCAGTATCAAAAAATTACCAAATTTCCATTTTTCCTTTGCTACAATATTTTTTTTTTTTTTGAAGAAACTGCTTAATGAAGCAATTATTGAATATTTCAAATACAAATATATATTCCACTTTACTTATTTCTCAAGATAATATTCAGTTATCGCTGGGCAAAAGCACAATTTATCCGGAATTTAGTTTAAATCGGTTAAAGGAAATTTTGAAAACTGAAGAGTGAAAACTTGTTTATAAAATCTTAATCATGAACAGAAATGTATAACATAATTATGATGATGCAACGGTGCGATTTCAAATATTTCCAAGAACTAATATTGATTGTAACAATCCGATTATGAAAGCAATAAAAATATTTAGTGATTTACCTCATTTTATATATTTATTATTATTATTTTAGAGGACAGTGTTAAAATCACCGATTTGAAAATTTTTTAGTTTATTTTGTTGTAATATATGTTGCTAAAATAATCAAAATTTCAAGGGAGGATGTAAATCCTTTGATCTTATGGAATATTTATCCAAACAATTTTCGCGAGAAATTTCCACTCTACCTATAATCTAAAAATTATTCTAATAAAAATTCTGAATTGTCAGCCTTGTTGCCCTATCAATATTTCTTCAACGCTTCTCACCATCTTATTTAATAATTTTATATCTGCTTAAGCGCAGCAATGCATAGGTTTCGCAATCCAATTGCGAGTACTTTTTAAAATCGAGGAGTTATTTTTCATCCACTTTTCTAAATACGTAAATGCCATCTTAGGTACTTTTCTATTTCCAGTATCTTTGTTGGTCAGTAATATCATATCAAAAAGTGTAGTAAACTGCTTCGATGTATTTCGCGTGGCGTATGATTTTCTATACGCCAGTGCATTATAAGAAATCATTGCGATTTTTGTCAAACCGATAAGAAATCATCCTTAAAAAATCACTGTTTTACATTCACTTGAATGATTTGTTAAGCGTTCAACTTCTACTGAATACAATAATACACATTTCTGGTAAACAATCCCTCAATCCCCAGTCGATCGATACGTTCACTCTCTGTCCCTTTATCCATGATGAGCATGTAGCGAACACCTTAATCCGGTAAAAAAATAAATCAATTTTGGGGTGAGGGGATTGTATATATGGTCACCTGGTGGGTTAATACCGTTTGCCATTAACATGCCTGGTATATAGTGGACAAGACCCGATCACGCAACACAACAGACGAAGGGACGAACGAACGGTGATTTCATATATTGTTTCCCGAGATTGTCAACGTAATTGCTTTGCTTCGAAGGTAAATGTATATGGGAAATGACAATTAGTTGTTCTTATTCTGGGGACGATTTAAAATCGCTGGCACGCATTGGACATTAAAATTTTCGTTGATGTACGACTTTGCGTGTTGACGAAATAAAAGTCCGATATTACCACAGACGGCGGGTGGCAGGGAAATGAAAACATTAGCCGCGTCATTTTTGGAATCGCTCAGATGTTTCTCCAGATTACGATCTTGTTAGTGACCTGCGGGGCAAATTGAAGCTATAGGCGATGGAAAATTTTGATATTATCTTCTATGCCAACAAATAGAGATTCTAAAGTGACAATGGTACCTGGATACCGATTGTCAAAGAAGTGTGTAGTTCATTGGCTGCGTGTTAATTTCAATATCGCAATTTTAATCAATTCTTTTTTATTGTTTTGCGTTTTTGTTGTTAATCAGTCTCAATGCTTTTGAAAAATTATATAGAATCAAAATACGAATAAAATGAATGCTAGTAGCAAAAGGAAAAATAAAATACAAAACGATTTTCAAAGATTATTTAGTGCGCAGTTTTTTGGGTTGTAATTTATATAGGATGCTTATTTAAAGCGAGACATATGATTATTTGGAAATTTGCTCCCTTGCATTTCATATATTTTTTGCAATGTGTAGAGTTGTGGAATCGACCGGTCAAATTTTTTGGTATCAATTGACTCGTCATTTGACCGAAATAATTTTTAAAACACAATGAAATTTATATTAATTTAGTTATTTATATTTATATATATTGTGCGTTATGGTCTGTTGAGAGATGTAAGAAAGTGACCAATTGCTTTTGAATGGGATTATCCAAGGGTGGTCATTAACATACAATGCAACAAAATTATTACCTAAAGTTTCGGAATTTAAATTCAGGTAAAATTGTGGTCCGTAATAGAAAATAATTTTATACTTACCTTTGTTTGATATTCTTTGGTTTGGTATACTACTTAGTTTAAGTTTATTAGTAATCATTCATATTTCGTGTGTGATACAGCGTGCGTTGAATCGTGTGCGAATTATGCAAAATATGTGCGAGTCTAGTGTATCTCAGGAGATGCTCCCTCCCAAATGTAGAAAACACTATCCTATTGAGACTAAGGAAGTTATAAACAATGTTTATTTGACTCTCATTGAACGTGGTGCCAGCAAGCAAGCATCTTTAGAAGAAACGGCCACATTGACGAAAATTCCAACATCAACTGCATGGAAAATTGTAAATAATCCCATTTCAGCGAGGAAAAAAAGAAGCGATGCTGACATTTTCTCGAGTGTACATGAAAGTGATCAAGATATAATACGGCGTAAAATTTACCGAGGAACAAGCTTCACTTCATAAGCGCTACTACTAGTTCTGTGCTAGAGGGATCCTACATTATACAGGTGGTTTAACATTTGTGATTTTACCGCTAGACACAAACATCAATACAAATATCAACTATTCTGAAACAGAATTAGAAGTCCTTTTAAATGATATAGTATGTGCCTATGCTTTACTGGTTAGTACTCAAAAAAAGCAACAAAATCTTTTAGAAAGTTTATGCTTACCATGTTGCGGATTATAGGTGCGAAGCAAAATAGACTGCCACATGGAACATCCTTTTTTTTATTAATTCGGTTGGTTTATTAATTTGGGAAGAGATAGTGATACCACAAAATTACTCTGCTGTTCGAATACTTTTGTATTAGACGTGTCTAATATCTTTAAAACCGTAAGAACAGGATTCAACTAATGGATAAGGCTGATAAAAAGTGATTTGAGTAGGGGTACACTGAAAATATGGTGAGTTCTATGGTTAGTTAGCCAAAAGAGGATTTGAAGAATGATCCGAATTCAGAAGAGAGATCCTTTGGAATATCCAAATAATTTGTTCACCTATTTTTCATTTGTAGTAATAGAATCAATCCAAAAACTAAAAGATGTGTTTAATTGACATTGAAGCGTGTCCTGAAAATGGCATACCAGCTGGAATAATTAGACCAATCCAGGAGATATTCACTAGGAATTTCTTAGGAATCAGGGTAGAGCAACAACTTGGGGGATAATTCCAGTTAGCCAGTGAATAAGGCAAGGTGACTTATTAATTTCATATGTCTCGTGGTGAACAAAATAATAAAAAACTGAATGGAATATGAAAATATTAATATGGTGCGTTATGCCGTTAAAGCAGCTCCACTTGCGGAATGTTAAGACGATTCTAGGATTCTACATGAATTTGCACTATTTTGTGAGAAATTCTAGCTTAAGCTATCTTCGAAAAAGTCAGACACGCTAGCTAAAGAACCGTTACCTTGTAAGTTCCAACTTTATAACACTATCCTGAAAAAACTACCCCGGTGCCCAAATAACAAAAACCAAGAATATCAACGGGGAAGTCAGACTTCACACTATTAGGGCGTCCGCTATATCGGGATGCATCAATGATGCGGTGTTGTCCAACACACTTGTGGCAACAGAAACAAAAGTCCTCATATATAAGAGCATTGAGCAACATTGAGAAGATTGAGAAGATATCAGGGATAAGTGCAAGATTCTTGATCGACCAAGAAAGGGCTAGAAGGATGCTTGGATTAAACAGGTCTAAGGAAAAGAAGAGTTCATTATATATTTTACATTTTTTAAAGAATATTAGAATAATATTAATATTTCAAAAATTACATACATTCAAAAAAGTTTATAATTAATTTTTGATCAATTTTTTCCAGTGTCAACAATTTCTAAATCTCATAGAACAATATACAATACAATACAATAGACGTTTTTTACCATTTTTTAGCACTTTTGATATAACAAGAAGTAGCTGGCGCATTATTTATATCAATATATAATTTTCTTTTAAAACGTTATTACTCGTTTTGAAAACCATACAACGAAGTTATAATTTGATAGCAACAGGTCGCAAGGCAAGTTTCTGGAAATATTTATTTTGAGTTAGTTAAAGGGCTGCTCTCGATCCATTTACTTACTTTTTCAGGATGCCTAAGGTGGCGTTGTTAGGCTCACCTTACACATCGGCTTCAAGAGATACGCCCCCTAGGTCGCCAGTGTGTAGCCCCGCTTGCAGTCCCATTGTCGAAGTATCCAGCAGGAGTATAAGTCCTGCATCTCCGCGATCTCCTCTTCCAGGAACTGGCTCCCGACACAGCGCGTTTTCTCTGGTCTATCCTAAGGATATCAGAAACGATAGTAAGTACTATCGGGGAAACGGGGAATGATGCTATACGTGCACAGAAGTGCTATAATCCAGAAAGAGTTTGAAACAAATCAGATTTCGATGATATACCAAATACTGAAAATTTTATAGTATACAAAGTATACGAGGCTAATTACCCTTTTATACTATAAAGTTTTCAGTATTTGGTATATCATCGAAATCCTAGTTGTTTCAAACTCTTACTCTCTAGTTTTTCTTAAATATCTCTCTCTATCTTAAATATTTTAGTCTATTTTTCTTGTGTTTGAGTGAATTGTTTAATTATGTATTCACATGTGTTTGCTTAGATAGTTTTTCCTTAATCGGTTAAGAGTAAAAGTGAGTGAAAACTGTTACTTTCCTTTCCCTAATATTGCAGTAATTTAAACTGTACCTTTGTTATTTTATTTCTAGGTATGGGCGCCCTTATGTACGCCAGCTCAATCAACCCTCTAATATCTTGTTCCTATCCTCCATACATATGGCATCCCATCCAAGGCCTATTTCTACCTTACAATCCCGCGCACACCTCAGAACCGCTTAGCCCGGAAAGAGCAAGTAACGTTGAGCAAGCAAAAAATCCGGAAAAAACCAAAACGGGTTAGTACCAAACATATCTTACCACGAAAAGGAAAATTAATCATTGTCCTTATCTAGACGAAGAGGCACCCTTAAACTTGTCCTTAAAGGGACGTTCTCGAACGACCAGTATATGGTCCCCGGGTAGTCTATGTGAACAGGAAATGAAAAACGTCAAACCTGAGACCAGTATTCACACCACCATTTTCAGTCCTGTCAAATCGATGGATTGCCGGTGGAAGTGGGATAGTGAAAAAGACATCCAAATGAAAGTCCATACGGTTGGAGGCGAAAAGCAATTTGTGGTGAGTTAAATCCTACCCTTGCAATTTATTTGTTTCCTGTTAGAGGAATACCAACAAACTGAGTACTCATTTTTATAAAGACGCGATGACAGTGTGGCATGTTTTTGTAAACTAGGGCACCAATCAAATTTTCTCAACCACTTTTGTTTGAGATTCAGGACAGTTGAGATATTCTTCGTACCTTGTTATTGGATAAATTACCAAAAAGTTAATAATTGTTGCTAATATAGTCACCGATATTTTATATGTATATCCATTTGTTTCATAAATGAATGCTCATTGAAAATGAATTTCGAATTGGAGAATATACTCTAGAATATATAACTAGAATTCAAAAATAGTATCCCGAATATTACAAGGTAATATCTAAATTAAAATCACAAGTGTTGTAGAATTTATTCAGTATTTCCAGCTCTCCAATGCTTACCCTACCCCAATTTAAAATTGGATCCATGGTTATTTTCAACTATATTCAAATAGGAAGTAAAACCAGGTTCCCAACTTTGAATGGCATTGGTCCCGACCGTCTTGCTTCACACTGTTCTTTTTGACTAGTATAACTTGGGTATTTATGAGTTATTTGCCAAAAAATGTAACTTATCCAGATACAAGTAACCCATCAATACTTCACTTGGTAATGTCCCTAGTGCTCTATTTAAGGTGCCATTAAACCCGAATTGAATGTTGAGTACATTATCATCCCACCTATCGTCTTTTCAATCCGCACCCATAGTGAGTAATGCATCGCTTAGTACAAAATATTTTAAATTTTTGTGAAGTACATAAAGATCCCCTGTCGCTTACAATCGAAAATTATTAATCATATCATTTAGAACTTCAAACATGTTTTGGTGTTTGTTTTTTGTTTTTGTGTTTTTCACGGGATAAATTTCGTAAAAGCATCAATTACGACGAAAAGTTGAGAATATTCTCTTTTTGTTTTACCGATTTCTTTATATAGGCTATTTAAACAATTTTAAATGTTTTTTTTAATCGTCGCATTTTTGGAAAACACCATATCACAATATCATCATGGTAAATTTGGGATTTTGCATTTTAACTAATAAACTGGTCTATTTTTTACTTCTGTCTAGCTCCAGTGAGCTACTGTCCAAAATATTTACAAAATTGACGCCCATATATGTGTTTAGAAGTAATTTGTAGGAGATATCTTGCAATGGAGGGTTTAGACTTTGAGCATCTACATGTCACATGATTATTTACATGTTTCATCTTGTATTAATATTGTTTTTAGCTACATCACCCCGCGGCCTATTTTTTTTCGCCCATATAAAGTATGATGGAATTTTTGAACATTCAAATAAAACTTACTGCTAAGATTTTCACATATTTTTGTTCCTTTCAAATCAGTTTCAAAATTTGCAAAACGGGTTTTTGTGGCCAAAGCATGTTTAAGTGCTGTGAAAGATTTTTGTTGTAATTCTGTCCAATTCCATCTTTATAAAGTATTCCACTGAATGACTTTGATTTTTCCGCATAATTTTGGTTGAACTTCCCAAGATAATTGGTTGATCCTAAGAATTATCGTACATTATGTATATTTTCTGGAGCAAGTAATTTTTATTCTGCGCAAAATTTTGGCGTCGGTTGGTTTAGTATTTATTTAATTTAAAAGTTAGATCATTCTTGTTGAACAAATTTAGCACCAGTCAAAGTTAATAGGATGTCTTCAATATTTTTACAGGGATTGAAATGTCGTCTGTCTACTTCGCTAAATCTTAAAATCTTAACAATTATTAATAATTTTTCTGAAATATTGCCGGGGCGATTGTAAGTAGAAATAGTATATTATGCGACAAGTGCGGTAAACGGCATTTGACTCGCGAGTTTATTTGACACGATCGGAGCGAGTGTTTAATAAACGAGAGACTTAAAAAGTTTACCTAACGTGTTGAAATATCTCCGAAATCATCCGATTGCTCCCAAACCCGTACGGTAAAATCCCGGAAATGTCCGAAGTGGCTCGGATCCGGGGGAAATAAAAGTGACGTGGTAAATTGACGCTTTCCACACGCTAGATCAGTGTGTAATTAGGTATTTTACAGACGGGAGTAGAAAAAGGTATTTTTAAGTATTCCTATAAACCATCCGTCATAACGTCATAAGTATTTATAACCAAATAAACGGTCAATTTGATTTTAGATAAGGTTTTTTTTTAATAGCTCATTTATAATATTTCCCATTATCAGCCTTTCTTTTTCTGGATATTTCCAACCCCGGCGCGTTACAGGCATGTTAGTTGTTAATGCTATCCGTATTGCTTCCGAACAAGTTCCTACATCTGAAGAATTATCGATGAGTGAGTTCTCATACAAACTTCCCTGAGGCTGAGACACATAACTTAACATTTTGCTATAAATAACTCTTTGCACTAGCTCCAAATAAACAAACATGTTGGCAAACCAAACAAACATGTTGGCAAAGCAAGCCACCATGTTTTCGCTGGACCACACAATTTTATGTATAACAGACAATTCATCTACAGCGTTAAGCCATTCAACAATATTATGAACAAGAGGGTTAAATTCACTTATGTTGTTATGATTTTGACATTGACTCACTACTTTCCTGCTTACTAGGCAACCTTATAGAGAGAGGAGGGGTTGAGCTTTTTTTAGATTCAGGTTCAGGTGGTATTCGAACAAGTTCCATTGTATTGTCCGATGGATATCTTCGTATATTGAAGCATTGCGCATATTCCCTCCAGATTCGAATTTCACTGTCTCTTTCGCGTAAAGAACTACGGCTACGAGTTTCAGCAACTTTTCTATGGCATCGTAAATTTTGTCGTGATACATAGCGAAAACACTGAAATCGGCAAAGCACTGGAATTACTAATCCCACTTCTGAAGTTGTAGAATTAATTCAGGATTTGAACAAATAGAAAAGTGGAATTAACTTCTTATTTATTTATAAAAGTAAAATATTAGGTATCGAATATCGATTGGCCGATGCTCTCAGACCTGACCGTCGTCCCGTTTCTCTGGCGTACCCTTATATATATATATATATATATATATATATATATATATATATATATATATATATATATATATATATATATATATATATATATATATATATATATATATATATATATATATTTCTAGTTTGTGAGTTCTTGGATCCTTTTGATTTTATATATTCTTAAGAAATGGTTCTTGGGTTTTTTTTTGGTCCTTTTTTAGTGAAATTAAAATAAGTTTCCGTTACTTGTGAAACATTTTATTTTTTGTGACGTTTCGGCCTTCAAGACCTTCTTCAGACATTTAATTTTAACCTACAAAAATTTATTTTAAAATAAAATTATTTATAGCATTGTTTTCCTGGTCATAATTAAAACATAGGTAAAAATTTGTATAGGAGTCAGCATTGAAATGATTAAAAATTACTAGTGCAAGTCAATAGAACAAACAAAGTGATTAAAAATTGTATAAAAATAGATGCACAACAATAAAACATACATAATTTTTTATATTATATTTATATTTTATTTATATTTATATTTATATTTTATATAGCTCTGGAACGTACGGTAATGGGAGATATTGTTTTTGAGTATTTTTCTTCTCGGATTTGTTACCAGCATTTTGATTGTAAAATTTATGTATCCGTTTATTGAAAATTTTATTTATTAATACATCCGGATAACAGTTTAATTTTAGGGCTTGTTTTGTTTTTTTAATAGCTTGCTGTCTGTACTTAGGATCGGACAGTTTAATAGCTCGGTCGGCTAAACCTATTATTATTGCGGATATTTTTTGGGTGATGGGATGTTGGGAGTTGAAACTTACATACCTAGATGACCAAGTATCTTTGGTGTACCATTTGGTTTTGATCTGATCTTTGCTGTGGTATAGACTCAGGTCTAGAAAGTTAATGACGTTATTTTTTTCGATCTCTATTAAAAATTGAAGTTTGTCGTTGTATGAATTAAAATTCTCTAGAATATCATCGATTTCAGTTTTTGGGACAGCACTTACGCAGTCATCGACATAACGATAAAATAGGGGGATATGAAGATTTATATTTTTTAGTACGGATTCTTCCAAATCTTCCATTACTAACTGTGCAATAACACTGGAAATCGATGCTCCCATTGCACAACCATTTTCCTGTAAATATATATATATATATATACAGAAGTAGTATTTCAGTTTCAATTTTTTTTAATGTAAGCAGTTTTGCAGCAAATAGATCCAAATTACTATGGGTGCAATAAAAATTAACAACCTGAATTAACCCACCTGAAGGTGTATTTTGATAATAATTAGCATGGAATACGTACGGAATTGTTACCAAGGTACAATAATATTTGTTAGAATATCAGATAGTTGTCTTTTTCTTCTATTCTGAAAATTTTAAATTGATATCCATTTAATTACGGTTCACGAAGTTAGCTTTAAAGCACTCATAAAGATTAAAAAAATATTTTTAATTCTTTCCAATCTCTCAATTGAGTTTTGGTTGCAAATTGCAATTTGCTAAAGACAAATGCGTAATAAAAAAACTCCATTAACTAGTTTGCCAATGTGCAGATGAAACAGGACCCCCGAACTTAGTTATTGAAAATCCTGTTCAAAGAAATTATTTTCCATTTGTCTAAGTCAAAAATTTGTTTTAAGTTTAAACAAGCCCCATAAGAATGAGGTAGATTGCAATTTGCTAAAAACATATGGTTAATAAAGTGTTCTTATTGGTTCGTGATATCCAAAGTATAGTACATCATCCGTTTCTGAATCGATGGTTTCCCAGTCTGATGTTGATGTTGATCCTATCTCAAGCAGTATTTTTGAACTATCAGGGTAACAATTGAACAAGCTCCATTTCACTAAGCAATACAAAGTTGATTTTTAATTTAGCTCGTAAAAACAAACAGGTTTTGTCTTTTTAACAACATACTTTTCTTAAATTATTATCCTTATTAAAGTAATACTAAAACATATCAACTAATCCTGCTATTCCTAGTAAATTTTTCAGCAAGGATTGGCATAAACGATTGAATAGGACGAACGCCCGTGAACAAAATATAAAAGATTGTTTTCACTATACGACTTGTAAAACTTGCAGTTAATTGCGATCGATATATTTGAAAACCATTAGTGGCCCCGGACGCACGTGAGTGTGTGTAATGAAAAAGGATTGGGATTAAATATTGACTTTAATCTTATAAAAACACGACACGATATCCCCATGCCGGCGAATCCGTTTTAAACGGTTTAGAGGCGCAAGAATCGATTGTTAGATTTATTGAAGACGTACAAGACATTAACGTAAAGGCTTTATTAATCGAACGTATACCTGCTTATTGAGTCATGAATAATGTACAGCAAAGGCAAACTTCAGTAACGGAAAACTTTACGACATTAAATCCACATCGCTCCAAATCATAGAGTCAGTTCCAGTAATGATCGGACCATTCTTAGGCTAATGTTTGCATAAATAATGCAAAGGGAACTTAATCGAAAATACCACTCATTAAATCTAAGCGTGCATTTTCGACCATTTGTCATTCCCGAGACATCGTACGATTGATCTATTTTTTATTAAAGTTTTTTTTGTTCGTCAAGCCGATCGTTTCGTCTTTGACTATCGTTTTTATCTGTCCTACCCTGTTCCTTTTAAAATATTTAACTTGTTTTTCTTAAACCAACGAGAAACCTTTATAAAAAAATAAAACCCCACTAACTGAACAATTTATTTGTACATTCTCATTATTAATTTTTCCCTGCTTTCCTACATGTCTAATTAGCAATTACGCCAGTGTAAGTTTACTTCGCAACTTAGTTAAAGTTAAACTTCAAGTTGGATCGATTGTAAATTTCATGAGACTCATCAATGAAACTTTCGGATCCTTTAACAATTTCTCGTCCAAAAGGGCCAGTGGAATTCGAATTTGTTTAAATATATTTTGAACCACCTGGAAGTAAATGGCATCGTTTTAATATGGCGTATAGCATGAAAAACAGAATCTTTGGAATTATTTAGTGTACCTACTGTTCCAGAGACGGACTGGCTACATCATACTATAATAGCAATATTACGTCTTGTATCTATCCTGAAAAATAAAAATACTGTTTACTGATATAGCTGAGATTAACGATTTTAGAGGAAAATTACCGAAGCCATTTTTAAATTTTGCACGTAATTGTACAGGGTTTCTGAAATATGGTTTGCGGCCCCCTTAACCTAGAAAATACAAACTATAGAAAAAAGAGTAAACGAAAATAAAAAAAATATGCGAAATTTAATCGCTGGCCAGAATTTACATTCCAAATACTCACTTAATATATGACAATAGGCCCTTTCCACAAGGAATTCATCTAAAATTAAATAGTTAAGGCTTCTTTATTGCAAAAATAGCTAATTATTTTAGAGCTTACAAATGTCATTTTTGATATAAAATTCAAGATTTGTCGAACACGGTAAGACTTAAGCATATATATGAAAAATATACATGAAAAAATGTATATGAAAAATTAAAAATTTAGAAACTACGCAACTTTTCCTATTTTTTCTATCATTCGTAGTTTCTAATGTAAGGGGTAAATTTAAACGCTTGATCATAGTTTTTTGTTTTGAAAGAGATAAAATCGGGAAAGCATTTTATACTAAATTGATCGAAACATTTCTATCGAACAAGGTTTAAAGCTAGGGTATTAATACTTAATCATCCCCAATCAGATTTGAATATAGAAACATTTTGTTTCTAAATTATATGAAACAATTAACGCTGTCCAGTAAATACACACAAATCGCGTATTTCTTAATGAATTATTACTAAAGCACAATTAAAAAGCCCAGAATAATATTTCGTTTCGTCACGAACTCTCCTTAATTTTTTCGAGGCACTGTAATTAAAGATGGAAACGATTGATGAAAACAATAAGGGACATTTGCCCATATTAATTTATGTAAATAGTGTCGAAGTTTTCTGATTACTCTTGATAAATTTTCGATGGTTGTCTGATAATCTAAAAAACAGCGTCTTCAAATTTAATAATTAATCTTTCGATTCGAGTTCCCTTATTATAATAAATCATTTGTTGTTATTGAAATTTTCGAGCAATTACATTTCTTCTTCACAACAACTTCTAGGTGCATTTTAACACTTTTTGATTTAACTAACAAAACTAACCAAGACAATCGAAGTTATCCAATTGCAAATAAGCAAAAATAATTACATACTTAAATCTTAATCTTGATCTTCTAAAAAGAGACATTTTACGGTTAAATCAATTTGTATCATAACTTTTTGTGGTTAGGATTGAAGTGGCTTCTAGTTTGAAACCAATATTAAGAGTTAATCTAAAAAAAGTGAACAAAAAATTAAATCAAAAAAGCGCATACAATATCACAACAACCGGAAATGAGAGCGTAATTATTGTCAAACTTGTGAAATTTAACATATGTGTATAAAAATTATGCAAGTAATTGTTATTAGTTATATTTACGGTAATAAAAATTAACTAATTGATTAATTTCGTCTGTTTAAGTCGAAACTTTTACGTCTAGAGATAGTTTTTTTATACAAAGTCATTTTTTAAATGTTATGTATAAAAGTCCCACATATACCGACGATAATGAATAATGAAATGAATATAAACGGTTTTAGAGATAATAAATAAAAGCTCAGGATTATTATAATCATTCTGTTGTTCAATTTTTAATTGGATCTTCTGTATTATTTGATTAAAAGATCAATAATACCACTCTTTCCAACCTCGCTTGTGAAAAAAAAAACGCTTTCCAAAAAATCCAACGTAAAAATAATAATTATTTTTTTATTTTATTTAATTTTGATTCGCATATGGCTAACAATAAATCTCTTGTTTTTCAGTGTCAACAATGTGGCAAATCGTTTAAACGGTCTTCGACGCTGTCGACGCACCTGCTCATCCATTCGGACACGAGACCGTATCCCTGTCAGTATTGCGGTAAACGGTTTCATCAAAAATCGGACATGAAAAAACACACATACATCCATACCGGTAAGTGAATTATTGATGTGGTAATCACTTGCTCAATACAACACTTCTTCAAACTTTCGACCTATAATGCGAACTTTAACAAGACCGCAATGGAACAAATTATAGCCTTTGACTCAGACTAAACTTTTGATGTGAAACATTTATAACTCGGTCTCATATATAATAAATAAGTTTAAGAAATCAATGTTCCAGATTGAAATTCGTCACGTGACCATTATTGTAGCTCTGGAGAAAGGAATATCTTGCTATTAGAATTATTTTTGGAAAATAGTGTTTTTGCATGTACTCATGTACTTTGTCAGCTTTATTGAATAAATCGCTTCCAGAACACAAATACATTAGCTTTGTGTAGATGTGATCATATGCAATAGAAACAAATTCATGAAGCAGTGCTTACAGCTTAAAGTAAGCTTTAACGCCAAGATATGAATTTAAGAGAAATTGTTATAAGAAGTTCATTTTGTGTTAATGAACGTGCGAAAACTTGACTTTGCGAGTAATTATTATTTGCTATCAATTAATCGAAGCAGAGTAACTAGCACACTTGTCTACTGAAACCATTATGTCGGAAGTGCTGCCGAACTAAAAATATTCTACCGTATGGCAGCTATTTTATTTTGTTTGTCTCTTAGTGATAAATGAAAAGGTATCCTGATGAACCCGCGTACGTTTAGCGACATTTTCGGTATAAGAACGGCGCCAACTGTGACCCAATTTTTAAGCACAATGAATACTTTTCTTACAAATTTTAGCATTCTAAATTAAACGTGGATTCAGTGGATTAAAAATCGCAGGTAAATTGTTTTTAAACATTTGGGATTACTTCAAAAGAAACAAGAATTAAAGTTAAAAGTGTAAGTTTAGGCTATTGCTATTATTCCTACTTTCATTTATATTTTTTTACGATAACTAATTTTGTCGCCTCAATGGATTCATGTTTAGAGATTTTTACTCACCACTTATTATGAATGACTATATTTATTCTTTATGATCAATCAGGTTCGAAACTTGAATAGGAACACAAAGTGCGATTTCTGTATTTAAAACCTCTATAATATTTTTAGCCATCATGCTCACTATTTAGTTTCAAAATCTTTTGCGAATCCACCTCCTTATTGTTAACTGTTCTTTCATCTGCATCATCCTGTATAAAGTATATTGTTAACCAACAATGACCCAATATTTGAAAATCTAGTCATCGCCCACAGACACATTTTCTCATAATCGTAATGAAATTCAAATTAGCATACATGCACACACGAACGGAAACCAAATAAAACGGTCGACGCCGCTGTGGCAGGGGGTAAAATACGCACGATTTCGCTAAATTTCCGGTACCGCACACGTACACGACACACGATGAGGTCCGCGATAATATCTAGTAGATTTCTCATCACCATTACTAATAAGATGTAAACAGTGACTGACAAATTATCTTTCTTTTGTAGCAATTTCAAATCTAAAAATTTATCTTTCAGCAATTGATTGAACTGAGTTGTTCCATTTGGTCGGTAATAATCTAGATGCTATTAACACATTAGAGGCATTTGATGTGTGCGCACAGCACGGATAAGAAAGGGGGGCGATCTATTACATCAACATTTTCAAAAATTGACAAAGAAAGACATTGATCTATTAATGGATATTAAAGGCAAAAGAAGAGATTATAATCTACAAAATGAGTTTGAATGTTCTGTCTTACAAACTAAACCTCCTTTTCACAAAATGAAAGATTCCGATCCAAATTTGGAAACGCTTTCATAGTTTTTTTTTGTATTTATAGTTCATATTTCGACTTTGAGTCAACTAATAATCACGGCATCAACTTGATTTGTAAATATATAGCAACGATTTTTTTTACGGTAACACGCTGTTCATTTTCTAAAGGGATACATCGAAAGAAAGTCAGGTTGGTAAATATTCCAGTGTTGCGAAATCTAAAGGTCTGTGTCGGAATTAATTTCGCACTGCCAATATTCTATCTATTTATTTTATCAAATATAGAAAGTCCAAGAGCGAGCCGTATCAATTATACTAAATACATCTAAATTATCTGTAAAAGTTTTTATTATAGTTAAACGTTCAAATCCATCTAAACAGACATACAAAAAGAATCACAAAATATTAGTTTTATTAATGATATCACTGAAAACGTAATAATTATCAATAAACATTAACTTTTTTATTGAAAATGTGTATTTTGATCGCAAATTAAAGTAGGGTACAAGTAACAAAATAACATACGTATATTTCGCTACAAAGGAAGTTAAGTGCGCGTAATCACTAGATATTGGCGGCCATTAACGTAGTAATAGAGATTCCGTTGCACTTCCTTCGGAGAATTTTCAATTAAAATTATGTACGAGCGTCGCTCAGGATAGTGCAGCGAAATGCAAAATTTCTGTTACAATAAAACAAAATCGTAAGAAGTGGTGGGGACTTGACCGCCATGTTTTATATCTTGAAAGCAACTGAATAATTTTTATTTTTATATTAACACTATTTATTATTTTCCAATTTGGGAAACATTTTGAAATTTTTTTGAGCCCATTTAATCCAATCGATGGTTACAGATATATACAAGGCATACGTTTATAACCACAAAAAATATAATATTTTGGTCATGTGTTCAACTAACCAAATTAGCATCGTCTGTTGATGATCAGTTAGTGAAGACGTTTTCACGATTATTTTTCCTTAAAGGCACCCATATTGGATTTGAAATCTAAAACAAGTTTATTTGGTATAATGTTTGGAATAATATTGCTAAACTCTGCCGAAAACATCCAATCTTTACAAACACTAACACCTTGCAATATGTATGTAAAGTTCTTTGGGACTCGTTTATTAAACACTTGCTTCGCTGCGCTCAGCTCGTTCCAAAACAATCTCGTGACTAAAATGGTTTTTAGCAAACTATTTGCGTAATAATCTATTAGCGAATTTTAATTAGTGTAATACTTAAAATTAAAAGAGAAAGAAAAATTGCAAGTTATTCTTCTAAATCAGAACTTCGTTTGGGTTCCAAGTTTGTTATGAACAAAAAACAGCGCAATCGATGTGAAATTGGAATAAAAAGACTGAAATGAGAGTACAAATCAAATGGTCGGTCGCTTCCTGCCCGATATACCCACATTAGCATAATATACAAAAGATTGATTACCTATAAGTATAATTGTATACAAAAAGGACGCCTTACGGAACACATTAATATGAATGTAAAGACGCCAATCTATACGAACAGGAAAGCGCGCATTGTATGGTTATTTATTATTATTTGAGAATTTTTCTTGAATGTCTTATGAGTTTTCGTCTTTAATGACAGCAATAAGTATTAATCAAAGTGGTGGAAGGTGCACAAAGGGCAACGGAGGTTGTGCACGATCAATGATTGATAGTTTGCCAGAAGATGAATCATAAATCTCAACGAGCACTACTGATCCGACAAGACGTTTTGCCAATTAATAATTTATTTCGATAGGCGCAGCTCGTTATTTATGCTGCAGAAATATGCTTCACGATATACTAGAGACTGTAATCTCTGCGATTTTCATGCTATTAAATTTCCCGGAAAATCAATCTACCTGTACAGTTATTTGCAAAACTAAAATGGCATATTCCGCAAACAAATTTGAAAAACACTACTTTGGCTTGTTTTAGCACGAGCAGATCCGGTGTTTAATAAACGCGAGTCTGAAGAAATTTATCAACATATCGCATATTACACATTTTTTACGGCCATGAGTTTTTGGGCACATTTTTGCCAAAACAGTATGAATATATTCATTGAGTGACATGTGACAGAATTGTCATATGTCAAAATACAATCCGAGGTTAAAATCTACCGAAAACATCCGATCGCACCCAAACCCGTGGCCAAAGCACCAAAATGTTTTAGAGCGGACTGTAGAAAAAAATATTTGACCTCTAGTAACTCTTTTTGAAACTAAATCTTAGTAGGGCGGCTGTATATTTGTCCTCTTGCAATTATAGAATATTTATTTCTTCATAATTCTAATGTTTATTAAAATCTAATTTGTACAGATCGTGCACATAATTTATACCATGAATATGCTTATAATTTTCAGATTCAAAGAGATTAATAATTAAGTACTCAAGGTTTACAAAGTGTTATTAATTTCTAAAAAAATAATGAACAAAATATCACTTTTTTCAAAAATTGTCAATTTAAATTTAAATTGAAAAATAAATTTTCTTTACCAGCTTTTCAAATTTAATTTCTAGTATTCAGTGCCTTTTAGGCGGGTTCTAACGCAATGTTGCCACACTTAATGCAAGTTCGGCCTATTACTATAATTGCGACTTCTTACTCGAAATTTCTCTGCTCTTACTGATTATAAATGCATATACAGACATTTAAGTATTCCTTTTCTCTTTGCAGAAAACTTTGTCCGAGTATTGATGTATGTTATGTAGTGGAGACGTATTGCTCAGGCCAAAATAATACAATGAAGTTAAAATAAACATGGGTGTTGTCATACAATTTTCATAACACATTGAAATTTGGTACATTTAGTATTCAGTGTGTTTTTTAAATCATATAATTTTGTTGTTTTCATTATCCAATTTAAGCAAACATAAATCTTTTTTCGCTTAATTTCTAGTAATTAAGTTCCAAATTTCTGTTAACGGGCTAACGTGCTCCTGTTAATTGAAAGAAAATTGTGGGATGCCCTTCCCGTTACACCTTGTTATAGATTTTATTTATTTTTGCGAAATCTGAAGTTTTTGTTCAAAAAGTAGAACGTGGCAGTTGAAAAAAAGGCATTCCAACACAAATTGATATGATAAACCTAAGCTTATCAAAATTTATGATGGTTTTTAGGTCAAAATCATTTGCAGCCCTTATCGACTACTACTTTTTTTTAAATGGCATCTAATTGCTTGTTTTGAAGTCGTCACTTATCGCGAAAAACGTTATTGTGTTGAGGTTATTAAAACTGGGCAAATAATATAATCTTCTGCGTAATGTCTACTTAAAAGCATATAGCAATTAACTGTGGTTCGCGTACAATTACTGCAATGGTTTAAAAGATAAAAAAAAGGACTTTGAAAACAAACAACAGTTTAATCAGTTTATAATTTAGAAGTTTAAAACGGTTATCTACAGCAAAATGACGGCTATATGCAATATTCTCGTGACAGTAATTTTAATAATATTTAAGCTGCAAAAAAAAACATTAAGGTTATTGACTAAATAGGAAAAATGTTTTCAACATATTTGTCCTTGTAGCCTTTGAAATAGCCTTGTTCAGTAGATCGCACATGAATAAATTAATTTCCAATTAAATAAAATGTAAAAATTGATTTAATATATTATATTTCCAGTAAAAGTAACTTTGTCAAGAAAAACTGACCAAAAAAAGTTTTCTGCGAGGTAATCAGCATGAAATAATAATAATATTATCTTCGAAATTGTTAACAGTTTATGTAATTTATGTTTAGGCGAAAATTAATTTAAAAAGTATTCAGACGCCGCAGAAACAGAATCTGATAAAATCGGTTTCCTCAAATGTATCAACCGATAAAGAAATTTAACAAGAAAGTATTACACGAATAAAGAAAAAGTAAATTAAATAGATCCAATCAAATGGCACAGAAGATTTACTGCGATTAACAACGCCAGAGGTCGCAGCCGCCAATCCAGTGTAGGGGCGAACTGAAGTAACAATGAAAAATGAACAATAATATGATGAATATTATTATATAACTCCAAGAAATTTTAAAATTCTTAATATTTTATCAGTCTAATACCAACAAAGAATGTGTTAATCAGTTTTGGTCTTCGTTCGTATTTTGGCATTTTTAATCCGGTCTTACTGCAAGAAAAATAATAGAAAAGAAAAAGGAAAGAATACACTAGTCTCAACCTAAGAAGTTACTATTAGTTTAAGTAACGCGTAATATGATTAATGTTGAAGTCTCAATTTATATAAATAGAAAATAAATAAATAAATAAATAAATAGTAAATCCTTAATAATTAGTTTAGACTTACATGAAGACCACACTGAGATTGAAACTGAACGGAATATAGAGTAGAGTGGGGTATACCAGGTAATCAATTTATGGGATTGGTTTTAAATTTTAAAGCACTTAAAAAATGAAATTATAATAACATTAAGAATGAAATGAAGAAATGAATTCAAAAATATTTTAAATAGTAACATATTTGAATTAAAAAAAATCACAATGTTGCAAATTTTCTTTTTAGCCACCTAATCAATTCTATTGTCCTCACGTACTTTTGACATATGCGGGTTATATCGACTGGATAATTTTTATCTACGGGACTGCTCATTTATACATCGTTTGCCCCATGTGGGTTGACTAAAAATTTATGAGATACGACCAGTTGAGACGAAAGTAACGTTAAACAGTGGCTTATGATGACGGTTGGACCTATAACATTTATTTACGCAGTGCTTTCAAGAAAAAAAAAGAATCGAGCAACAACAAATTTCAATCTTCTTTTGGACACAAAATACCTAAATACATAGAAGCCTTGAATATGCTGGTAAATAATACAGACACATTTGAAGCCAATATCAGTAAGTGTTAGAAAGAGATATTTAATATTCACATGCGCTAGTCATCAACTCGACAATTGCCCTTTTGGTTATGGAATGTTTTCCACAGTACTTTGTAAAAGTATGCTCAGATTCTATTAAATTTTCAGGTAAAAAACCAGTTAAGTGGGTGGAGATCGTTGATTACAAATTAGGCAGTGTATATTCTTCAAAAAAACACCTAAGACTGACCAAAAGGATTGGCCGGTACAAGTTCAGGTTTTTCCGACAACGTCCTGGAAAATCTACTCATCCTGCAATTCCACATTACTCAAAATTTCAACCCGCAATAAAAACTATTTTATTGTAAAATGAATTAATTATTAAATTATTAATTAATAAATGAAAGTATTTGACGAAATATCTTTAATAAAGGAATTTGTTAGCAATGAAAAGTTGGAAGATTGGCAAGCTAATGATATCAATGTTTGTGTCCAATGGCTTGATTTTGATAATTGTACAAAAAAGCAATAGTTAAGGTTGCACTTTGAAATCAGCCTTGATTACAAGGTGCAACAGGAATTTAAGTTGTTTGAAATTTTAGAAACTCTTTAAACAATAGGTGGTTTTAAAACATCATTATGAATTAAAATTTAGTTTTGGTTTTAGCTTATTACCAAAGGGGCCATGAGAAATTGCTGGATCTAATTTTCAAGTTCCCAAAACATCCGTAAGAAGGCGCAAGTTTTAGTGCGAATAAGAGGCAGTAATCATAATCTACAAAAATTTTATTTGTTTGAACCATTTTGCCTGTCTGTTAAAATAGAGTGACGGGAATGATTAGTTAAAGGAATAATAGAATGCATTTGACACTAGACGCTAGGGGCCAACTTACAACGTAAAAAAACGTTGCGCCTTTTTTGTAAAATTTGGGTAGTAGTAAAGATAAAATAATGCAATTTCTCATGGTGTCCCTTTTGTAATAAGTTTTTTTATGTAGTATTAGCCGTACGAGTAATACTTCCCAAGATACAGTCTAGGACTATTTTGAGTGCGACATCCAATACAACCAAATAAAGTAACTTCAAACGTGTAATTTTTTGCCCACAAACAAAAATTCAAAGGATTTAGAACTTAGGGGGCATATCACTTTGCTCTTGTGCGACCTTAGTGCTCAATTTTTGTCGAGTTAAAATTAAATTCATTAAATTTGTTGGCGCTTTTCTATTACCCAAACACAGGTAGCATAAGTACATATTATTAATTCTGTTGTGGTTTCGTTTGTCCCCCTAATAGTAACAAATATGCGGGTGATCTCTAGACAGATGGCTTTCCTTTTCACGGTTGATTTTTAAATAAAAAATTTCGAAAAATGGAAACGTTACCGAAATTACATAAGTTGCTTCCAGATAGCAACAAAGATACAGCTGACGATGTCATCTTACAATTGATCCATTTCGCATTACATTAGTAATTAACATTATTACAATTATAGTGAAAACGATATCACCGTTCCTTAATTCTTTTCGGCGCATACAAACGACTTTGTTACTCACTATACGCTTTCAAAATATAAACGTTTGGAAACATTTAGCTACCAAAAAATAGTGTCGATTGACCAGTGGCGATTAATGTTGCAGTTCATATTTACAATAATAAAATTATGACATACAGAGTTGACGCATAATAATATCTCATTAGCATTATATCCAGAAAAAGATAATAAGACAAAATTTCAAATTTGATGTGTATTTTTCCATTATGACCTATTTATTTTAATTATTTAATCTGCCGCTAATGAATTAAAAAGTATTGACGCGAAGTATATGATTGTCCCGCGAGACATCATTATTGGAAAAACAACATGTCCTTTACGCGAGTTCGATTTATCAAATTTTATCGCACCACTAATTTAGTAATTGCTTCATTTGTATTACGTGCAATTAGCATAATTCGGTATTGTCAATAGCTCTCGATCTATTACGGTCAAAAACAATACCTCGACGCATCATTAGCATTTAAAAAAAAATGGATCTACACGTACATTTGATTGCATGTTTGCCAGGCGCACACATTTACATACCAAACGAGCGCCAATATATGGGTTTCGAAAAAATAATTAGCAAATTGCCTCGTTCCGAAATGGACTTAGATCAATGTGAGCTGTTTGTGACGTTTTTTTTTATTTAGGGAATTTTGTCTTTTGTTGGCAGGTGAAAAACCGCACAAATGCGTCGTTTGTTCCAAAGCGTTCAGCCAGTCGTCGAACCTGATCACGCACATGCGCAAACATACCGGATACAAACCGTTCTCCTGTGGATTTTGCGAGAAAGCTTTTCAGAGAAAAGTTGATCTTCGGAGGCACAGAGAATCTCAGCACCCTTCCATGCCGGATACGGTTATGAACACTGTGTATAGATGTTTAGATGTGCCATCGGTAACTGAAGTGAACGAAAATAGTAACAATAACAACAACGATTGCAAAAGCTAGAACATTTTCCTGTATCTGTGATGAGCTTTTTAAGAGATTCGACGATAGACGTCCTTAAAATGATAATTTGAAAACCGATTTTCTTCTTTTACGTCGTGCCATGTCATTTTATGTCAAATCAGCAAATTCAAAATTTGTAACTTTATTTTAACCTAGACCACTGATTTAAAACCTACAAAAAGGACTGCTAATAGATTTTATTTTAGTAACAGTCTACAGAAAAATTACTAAATATTTCGATAAATTTTAGAACACATTTTACAAAAAAAATCCTGCCAACCTGAGATCTGTTGGCCGCGTGTTTCAAAATTCTGACGATACATTTGATAAGGTCTCTAGAGTAAAATTCAAAAAAAAAATGTTTCAATGCTTTTGAATATTTTTACCGGTTTTTCAGGTTGCTACTAAGATGATTTTAAAACTATATTTCAATAAAGGGGCAGTTTTCTTCTTGATCTCAGCGCCCTCCTTACCTTTGACGACATTTTTGGCCCGAAAGTTAGGAAAGTCGCTGTATGTCAGGCTAGTCGAGGCCTCCATGTATTTGCTATGGCGGTTTAACCTTTGACATCACTGAAAAACAAGTTAGACTATGCAAATGTAAATTATATTAATCCAATTTAAAGATATTTCATACAAACAGCAGTTAATAGGACGCAGTTGGAGTCAATTTAAAGTTACCAAAAATATATTCCAATTCACTGGAGATATGGTACATAACTAAAACCATTGCGGGCATATGGTCACTTTCCTAGCCATTTACTTTTGTTATTGAATCGCTTAGTTTTTGATATAAAATTCATCGGCAAATGGATTATGCATATATATGATATTTCGTAACATATTTTCCAAAATCTGTTGTTGAATCTCTACCTAAATTCTAACATCGAACGTAAACTTTTGCTCGATGTTTCTAGGTTAGCAATGGACTATTTGTGAATGAAGCGGACAATAAAACGATTTAAAAAACTCAATTGGTCAATTCGTGTCATGTATGAATGTATATGAATTGTTACGTACTAAAATATTTGATTGATTGATTTAGTTAGGTACATATTTTAGTAAATATTGCATGTGATGAAATATCGTGCTATACAATTTACCCAAATGCCATAATGTGTGCCTTTTGCAGTTCTTCTAAATATGTTTCCCTGCCCTTGTAAAATAATGGTTTCAACAAATTTAACTAGTCTCTATATTCTAATTTTTGAATCAACATTAATTTCAATATGAAAATTTCGTTTTTAGTTTCAATCGATAATACATCAAAAATAATATACCTCTCGCTTATCGCATATTGCGAAAATTGGCAGTGTGTCGAAGTTGCCTCTTACTGATCCGTCCCATTGTGACCAAAGTAAAAAAATATGTAAAAGAGATTGTTAACTTGTATATAACTTTTTAAATTGTTAAAATTAATTTTATATTTGCAAACGTGTAAATTAAATATTTTATGATAAAATATTAATGTGTATTTTTGAAAATCGGTCTAGTCTAAGTAAACGGTATTTTTTTTGCATTTTCGTAGAACTTTTATCGTGCGTTCTGGAAAGATAATCCTTTCGAATTTGTATTAAAATTAAATATCCGTTCCATATCGGGCGGATTATGCACTTGCATATTTCCACTTGCACGTGAAAAATTTTATTAACAAGGTTTCCCACCGAAACTTTGTAATAAAATTTCATACAGCTAAAAAGCCAAAGACTCCATGTAAATTTTGTATTTATCTGTTGTACATATGGGTACGTTGTTTTCCAATCAATAAAATATTTAATAAATTGTATTATTTGCATGTTTTTTCCAATACCTTCTTATCGATCTCATCAAAACCCGAAAGTCTTGATTGCAAGATTATAAGATCAAGTTAAAAGAAAACAAAAGCGTCAAGTGACAGTAGTAAATTTATTGAGTCATTTAGTGCAAAAATGTTAAGAAAGAGACCATTGTACGCTTAAGCCACATGATAAAAACAAAATTAAATTGGCGTTTATAATATCAAATATGATTTCCAGGCGGGTATTTAATAGCTACCTTAATAACACATATTATGACAGCAAGTACATAACTTTTTGGTCTACTGCTTCCTTGTTCCTTTCTCAGGACGACGCAATTACATAATTGTTTAAAATAACCGGGAGAAAAATTAATTTAAACTCATAAAAACCGTAACAAATCGTTTACAACTTCGATTCGTTATTACTCCAGCTTTCCCAAAAAGAAAGCGGATAAACTAAAAACTGATACTGAAAAAAAAACTAAAAACTAATACTGAAACCGCAGCACCATATTTAAAACAGAACCTTTTCAAAGGTTTTCTTTAGAAAAATAAGAAATACTTATTTTAAGCATTGTTTCAAATGCTTATATTATGGCATATCTGAAGGTCCCAAGATTTCAATGAATAAATTCCTTAAATTCAAAATATAAAACATTTTAAAATAACCGACGTCCCTATTTAAGCAATTAACATGTTTTCGTTTAAAAAAATATCAATAATTTTCACTGAAGCATTGAGACTCGAAAGTGGAAATTAAAGTTCGTGGTTTCTTTCTACTAGTCATCAGTCAAATGCAAAATTTACCATCCACAGCTAATCATTTCGATTCTGGTAGGTAATTTAGGAGAAATATGACTAGCCCCTCAACTAAGTTTTTTTTAATTTTATCCTTATTTCTGTATAAGGAAGATTAGGACCATTACGTTCGTTGCCATCTGCCATTATTCATCTAATTATTTGGAATTTTATTAAAATATTTATTTGCATTTATTCGATTAAATTCATAGAATGGTGACTGCCAACAAGGTTTTAATGTCGGGTTTGCTATGTTCCACCCACAACAAGTGCATGGAAACTATATTAGAATTTATGCAATATTTCATAGCATTTAACAAAAAAAAAATATAACATTTTTGGGAAATAAAGAATGAAGGGTTTTGAGGCTGAATTTTTTTGATTGCTTATCAGAGGTTATATTTTACGGTAGTCCCCTATATATTTTCTCATGTCTTAACGAAGACGCATGATATAACTTTCTATGTAAAATTCATTGCCACCCTTCTTCCACTATAACGTATGTTACATTATTTAATGGAACACACCATGGATTATTTTTATTGGTTTTTTTTGTATATATTTTTACGCAAAATAAGATATACAACATATGGAACAAATCTGCAATGGAAACTTTGCAAAGCAATCAATGTAACTGTGGGAATTTTTTAACAAATATGGATGACCATTCAGGAATTGTGGCTACTTTTGAAATTCAAGTAAAAACTTAATACTTAATTGCAATTTTCAAGTAAACTGCATTGTTATAAATATCAAATATTTTGAAATTTAAAATAAATTAAAAATCAACATAATTTGCTCCTTTTTTAAAATGCTTTAATAATTTTTTTAATTTTACTTTTTGAACGCATTGATTAGGAACCAGCCTCTATATGAATTTTAATGTTTAATGTTTAATGTTATTTACTATTGTTACACTTTTGCACACCTAACGACCAGCTATTTTTATACTAAATAAAATAAATAAATAAATAAATAAATCTGCCAATTTGTTTCAAGGGTTTATCCAGAAAGTTAAGAAGAACAGGAGTTCATAAGAGTCTATGTAGAAAAATCTTTAAAGTTTAAAGTAGTTTGAGAAAACTAGATGATTAAATTTAGATCTATCGCACTCAAATCGTTTGTTGGGCTAAGCTAACCAAAACTTTAGACATGCTAACATTCGTCTCGAAATGTTTTCTAAATTTTCATACTCTCAAATAATTATAAGCTAAGCAAATTAATAACCTTTAATATATCACACCAACTTGAAAAACAACAAATTCGGCAAACCTCACTAGTTATGGTCTTTGTGTTAACAATATTGTTTCGCCGCATCTGTGCTTGAGAGAAGTTCCTATCAATTTAAATGCGGGATAACTTCGCTGTAATGAAGACCGGTGCAAGCTGCAGATGCGCCTGACCACCGAATGTGCTTGGCACGAGGCATTCTGCTCGCAGATTGCCCGCCTGTAGTAACCTAATCGATTTTTTACCTCTTTGTTTTCACTGGCTTGTTTATTGAATTGCATTTTACGACAAGGCATCTCATTTTTATTGGCGAATTTCCGGCTGGTTGGCAAACATATTTAAAACAACCATTAAATTTAAAGTGATTTCCAAATTGTAAAGAATTGCTAATTTTAACTAGGAACATGCACATACCTAGCACATAATATAATAGAAACGGTACTGATAGGATCAATTGTGCTTCAAAATTTGCATTGAATTTTAATACTACTAATATTTTTTATTTAATTTTCTTCTCTCATTTTAACCCTGGCCATCCTGCAGTCGTGGCCATCCGCAAAGCCGATTTTGTGCATGTGGTGTTTGAGGTTGCAGTGACCGGTATACTTGTCAGTCACGTTTTCAGGTTTGACCTGCTCATGCCTAACAATCAGTTGTGCGTTTTTTCATTGGATTGATGTTCTTAAAACAGTACCCCATCTATACTCTACGTGTCGATTGCTTTTTTAGCCTTTCTAAAAGGTTGGTCTTTTCGGTCCCCTCCAGGTGCTAAGGTCCAGGTATCCATATCAGGGCTACCTTATTTCGGCTTCCTAACATGCCATATCGCTTCTTACGTTTTACCATTTGGAATATGCTGATTTAGGTTGTTGGAGTATGCATCAATAGTTTCGTCTCCTGGGTACACAATTGTCATATTAATAGCCTAGAAGAAATTCAGCGTAAGTGTTTAAAGTATGTATGGGATAAATTGGACGGAGTATACACCCGACAAGGCTTTTCGCATACAATATTATTAAATAGATTTGGTTATAATTCTCTTACTGATCTCCATGATTCCCATTATTTAAAATGTTAAATAACTTGTTTGACTGCTCTGACCTATTACATAGACTAAATTTTTTGGTTCCTAATATTAACTCTAGACATAGTAACACATTCTTTCTGCCCATAACAAGAACTAATATTTTAAAATTATAGCTTATTTTCTCAATGTGCTCCAAGTACAATGCTCAACACGATTTGGACTTTTTTCGCAATCTATTACTAAGGTAAAAACGTTATTGTCCCATTAACTATAATTATTAATTTCAGTCTTTTCCCGTTCTCTTGTTTTTTTTGTTAGAGTTAATATTTATGTTAGGCTAGAATTTAGGTTAAGTAACTATTTAATACTTTGTACTACAACCTACCTGTTAGTTGGGCTTCATGCATGTTAGGTAGACTTCTTTAAATAAATAAGTAAATAAATAACAATTTTCAATATTAAAGTTATCGATTTTGTAAGCTTCCCATTTCATTGCTATAAGGTAATCCATCAACATTGAGAATGGACTATGGAGTTACAATAGAGCACCCACTCCGCAAAAGTCCAACCTCATTTGAAATTAGATCGCGTGTCAGTAAAAAACTAATCTGATGTTTATCTTGTGCTGTATTTTTTCTTTCGTACACCTTTAATTTGATGTAAACGAATTAAATATAGACGCCTTAAAAGGCAAACGTTTAATAACTTGATCGAATTGTTAATATCCCATAAATGTAAAATCATTACCCGATATAACTGAGCTACTATAAGGCAGCCAGATCGCGCAGATATGCGATCTTGCGATACCATCTGAGCTTTAGCTCATGCAATTCAAATTACACCTTAAACCATAAAAAAAATATCATATAAATACATAAAAATTCAACCGTAACAATCTCTAAAGCAAATAATGGCGCCGTTAAAATTCACTAAACGTTTTCTTTATAAATCACTCACAATCTCGCTATGTTTCAGCATTGGCAAGAAAACAATATATACCGTTTAAAAGATATTAATCAAGTGGAACCTGAAAAACGACAAAAAGTCCATAAGAAAATATATGGATTATATTTTAGCTGTCAAATCGTCTTGCTTCAATTAGTTTAGATATGAAATCAATAACATGGCTCGGAATCGACCACCAGTTGAGAAATTTATCAAAACGCAGAATTTTACAATAAAGCGGAAAAAGTAGCTGCTCGGGCACGAGCACTGAATAGATATGAACTTTAATGCACCACGTCCACTATAAAGCGCGATTTATTTAATAAAAGTATAATAGTCAGAAATAACACTTCATCACTCTTATTTGCTTTTTTCTTTCTTCTGTCATAAATTAAGTATTTGCGCGTGAGATTTTTTTACCTTGCAGATAAACTATTCTAAAATGTGCATATTATACGATTTTCCAAAATTTAATAAAATATAATAACAAAAAATCACTGTTTGAAATTTTTCAAACTGAAATTCAACGTTTGAAAAATACTGCCAATTTCAGGATCAAACACAAGCTATATATGCCACAATTTGCTGCTCTAAAGCTCAAGTGAAATAAAATTGAACTTTGATTATAAATAGCTACGAACAATAACACGAGTAATCACTTCAAAAAATAAATCAGAACACCTCGATTAGGAATTCTAAATGCAGCATACACAGAACATTTTTCCTGTATTTTTTGAATATTATCTACATGCAGGTTATAGAAAGGACACATACTATAGGCCAATAGTTTATATGAAAACAAAACCCAAGCTTTTATATGCTAAAATTAATAGTTGAAGCAAAGCAAAACATTTTTCGCTGTCCATAGCAGAGGGTTTTCTATTTATAAAAGTCATTTATAATCCTTACAATATATGGTATACGCTCTGGACAATATAAATCTGATCTCCTTTGTTTTCTTGCAAAAATCCTACTAGCAATAAGAACTTCGTCGAATTTACTGAAGAAAAAACTTTACGCTGAACAACGGTTTCCAAGATACTATCTACGTAGCACCCGTACGTAGACCTCAGTGAAGAATGGAAGGGTCCAGATTCATAAAAATTTCCGGTTTTATGTAAATTTACAAACCAATCAACAGTTTTAAATAAAGTTCAATAGACTGACCTACATAAAGGACAAATAGGCTACATAAACTATTTTGAAACCAAAATTAATTTTACATTTACAGAGTCTCTGGTGGCCGATAAAGAACACGGAAGACTTAACTGGATTTTCATTTTACATAACTTGACTAATTTAAATGGTACTTTATAATTCTTTAATAATTTATATCAGTAATAAAATGAAATCATGTGGGGTACATTCTAATTTTAGAATTTTTCTGACGACGGCAACTACAGATTATTAACTTGTCACTATCTGTCTCGCTCACACCGCGAAAAGAAGTCAGAGACGGAATAAACATTTTTCTTGATTTTACCTTTAATTAAGCGCATTAGGTAGTGGCACTGGTTTTTATGTACTGCTAGTAGTTGTTTTTATGTACTGCTGGTAAATATATTTTTTTAAGAAACAATCTGTTTTATTCATGATTATTATCCTTAATCATGATAAAAATCCATACGAAACATTTTATTTAATTTATATTTATATTTAGCAACATTGCAAGTTCATTTGAAATCAGCGGGATCAGAGCTTGTTTTAGAAACTTACAACTGCTGCCGCCACCTGATATTGCTATCTCATTGCCCTAGCAAAATAATATCACCATAAAGCTTTACTTACATGAATTATTACTTCTTCAGTAATAATAATACCACAAAAAAATAACTGAAATGAAAGCACTGAACGCAGTAAACACAGCACGCAAAATACTTAAAATAGACGCCAAGTCGCCGCATACCGTATGCCGCCAACAAAAACAAGGCTGAAAAGATGGCGGTCGACGAGACGGAGGAGAAGCCGACGACACTCGAGCGAGTCCGGCACAACACGACCGCGAGTAGTTGCGTCATTGGTTGCAGCCGAACACTGTTCTCAAATGGGATCCTATAAACAAATATATTATTTTTACGTTTTTGTAATTTTTTACTTACATGAATCCGTATTTTCTGTGGTATTTTTATTAAAAAAGCGTTTCTTGTCCCGTTCGTGTCCAAAAATAATAAAAACAAGCTTATTTTAAAAATTTGATTTCGTTTTTTTTTAGGACTTAACACTGACGTCGATGTAGATGTGCACAAAAACGTGTCCAATAAAATGTCTCCCAAAACAACGCAAATCTAAAAAAACTAAGTATTTTCCTTCTCAGTTGTTCAAAAGTTAACTTTTTAGGTTTCATTTTGTTTTACGGTTTTTTACTTTTTTCCCTTATTTCTATTATAATGTTCCCATTATATATATTATATATATTCGCATCTATTTAGAGGATATCTGTGATATATTCAGAGGATATGCCTGGGATGTATTTTACAGTATATTTTTAGTATATATGCTAAACGTATATCCTAAGAATATCCTCGACATGTCCCGCGACATGCGACTTAAATAGGACATCGACTGGACATACTGCGGATATTGTGTGCTATCTGAGTATAAATCGGCCTTATAAATTAGATGGTATAGGTCACAGCCCATTATGATCGTAACCAAAATTTGATAACTATATATCCCTCAGTTCTCTAGATATTCCTAATAGTTCATCATCGACTTTGGATTATGTAGCCTTTACAACACGATTGAAATGCTGGTATAAATCGTGAACGATTTCGGTGCGGTGACGAGAACCTTTTGCGCGGTCAGTAGCTCGAAAAACGGTCTTCGATCGTCAGCGACGTACATACACTGCTCGCTTGCATGTTGCGTTTTGAATAGTCGGCCTAGATGTTTGCACCTGCCGTTGTACGACGCACACATTCACATTCATACTGGTACAGGTGTCGTCCGAAGAGACGGGCCAAGGTGTAACGTCTCGCGCTTCCCTACTGTGTGTCGCGTCCCTTTTGCGCGTGCCACCGATTTTATTTCGAGTTTTCTTTGGTCGAGGAAGGGCTTCGCCGAAGGTGGCGAAAGGTTATTAATAAGGCTGCTGGTAGGTTTGCTATGAATCCGTAGTAGGCGCCGCACTGCGGGCCAGATTCGCGCAAAACTATTTAAAAAGTTTGCTTATATTCCACAAATGAACAATTTTATTATACTTAATTCAAAAAAAGGATTCGTTGAAATGTCTAAAGTTTTAGGTTTGCATTTGATATCATATTGCATTACACTTTTAAACCTTCCCAGTATAAAGTTTCTATTTAGTTAAATTGGAATTTTATGTTGTTTGTTAATGGACTTTTGACCTCTTTTTGCAATATGTTTTTCTGGCAGATTCGCACCGTGATATGGCACATGCCAAATTTTAATTAAATCGGCATAAGACGGCTCATAAACCAAAGCCAAATCCACTAAACAAAACCATTAACCTTTGCAAGTACCAAAGTTCATGAGATATTCATTTTATACCATCTTCTAAATAATCGCCAACGGATTTTTAATCAAGAAAAATGAAATTAACGTATATGGCGAAACGAAAATTTGATAAGCAAGTATCTCAGATGTAAAAGCGTCATACTGAAAGTTAACAGTCAAGCAATTCGTTATTTAGAATAGAATATTTCATATATTATATTTAATTTGTTGAAGATGTCCTAAAGTTAAGAGTTGTCACGAGAACCAATAGGCCAACTCTCAAGAGAACACAACTCACACAGAAGCCTTACAAGCAAACCAGTCTTCAAAAAAAGAATTTTTTCCAGAAACCTTAAATTTATTAGAGCCCAGTCGAATTAATGCTGTTTATATTTACTAAATATAATAATAACCACTAAAATTATGTTGAGAAAAAATCAGCTTTTTGGAATCCACCTTTTTTCAACCACGAAAAATACTTGTTAGTATTTAGAATATGACTACGAGAAGAATTGTCTCATTATCCGAACTAGTGGAGCGTAGGGACAATCACACTTTTTTAAATTAATTGTATTAAAACGTAAGTATACACACACTAAATTTCATTTATGTTTAAAAAGGAAAAGGGTTTCCAATAAATCTGACGAAAAGTAAAAATTGATTTTTATTCATTTAAATTTTAAAAATCCACCTCACATTTTAATATCAAAAAAGGCAGCTACGTAGGTGTACAAGTGTGCTTGCTTGCGCGTTACTATAAATCAGATCTCAATTGGTATGGTATTAATTACATTTTTTAGCAAAACTAGGAGTAACATTTTCTGCTCTGACCTTTGATTTTACTTGGTTCTACAATGCTCTATGGGGTTAAACATGCAATGATCTATAGGAACACGTCAAACAATATACTAAGCCTGTTTAATCAAATTATTTAATTACGTATGAATTTATGAATTAAAAATAAATATCGTTTTCTAACAAAGAATTTTAGTTTTTGAACTTGATGAGGCTGGTCCTTTGCATAACATACGGCCGTGGTAGCTTGTGTTATTCTTGACAATAACGCAATATATTTTCCGTTTTATTAAGTCCTGATCACTATTGTCTATGTCTATTGTCTATGTGAGTTTGATTCTCAATTATTAATAATATCCGTTATCGACGATATTGGTGTTTTTTTTTAAAGCTTCTTGTTTAATAAGTCCTCTACCGATTAAAGTCTCATACACATTTTTCTCATAAAATGACTGTAAATGGTCAACACAAATTTATCAGAAAGAAATAAATGTACTTGGCCCACCGCTGCCTTGTCACTCAAGTAATAATAATAACAATAATTAATAACATCCTTAAAGTTTTATTCGGGAGGATCCGTCGAAAGCCAACACGATGGACCTAAAACTGACGTATCTGGTCACCTCTACTATTAAGGGAAAAGCTACAGTCAGAGGGTGGTTACAATCGATTTCTTGCAACAGAATGAAACTATGAGGATTTAAAGTGTCGTTAAATGTCTAGGGGAATTTTTTAAAAAATCAAAAATATGATAGCACCATAAAGTGGATTTATAGATTTCCGATATTTATTCTTAAACTATTAATTTTTTTCATTACCATGACACGATCTGGTTCAATTCCTTTTAAATTTGAAATTAACTTTTTTTATTCAGCTTCCTTTTTTGCTTTATAATGGTAATCTTTCAATTTAATAATCCAAAAACAAGTTCCTTCTCGATAAATTTCAATAAAATCCTTTATGATATCGCGATACCATTTTTTTGTCTTTCTTACGCATTCTTGCATACCCTTATTTAAATTACTAATCTTTTCTAAAATTCTATGGAAGAATACTCGTAGATTGCGCAACTTGCACAAGGAAAGACTGTATAACTGTGCAAAAGGTTTGCACAAGCAAATTTTTCAAGTATACAATTATTGTAGCTTTGTAGCTGCCTTAAGAGTCGCAATGACAACACCACCAAAAATTAGGTGAACCAAAACCACAACTGTATCCATTATTTTATTAAACCTTCTTGTTAAGAAGCTTCAAACCAAACTATTCTTCAAAGTTCACAAAAAATGGGGCAAAATAATTAAAACGTGCTAAAATCTTAGCCGTGCTGGGTCCTTTTATTTAAAATTTTTTCATTTGTGGCAGCTGTCTTTGGTTCAAAAAGAACGTTGTTGGAATATCTATCAAGTTAGCAGTCAAATTTCACGGTTCCGTGGACAATCAAACGCGTGATCCGCCGAAAACGACTCTCCCTTTGACTTGCACATTTGTTTCAATTTTGTTTACGGCCAACAGCGTTTATAATATGTTGATAATAACTACACAACAAAAACTGTTAGAAGCCCACTGTTGCAACAGGTTGCCTGTTAATCCGTTCGCAGGCACATGCTGCTCGAATTTCTGCATTGGACGTTTCCTAGGCGAAACATTAAGTGTGATTAATTATAAAATTGTACTTTTTTCAAAAGGCAAATTTTCTGTTATGTGTGATTTTCGCTCTAAAGGCCCACGGAAGTAAAATTATGGAGACAACATTTTCGACTAATAACGTCAATCTAGTTTAATCTGGGAAATGTTGAAAAGGCACATTTGACTGTTTTTTTTTTCCAATAAATTTTACACATACGGACTATCAGAACTATAGGATATTTGTAACATCTAGCTACATCCACCTAGTGCATTATAGTATCTTGCGGATAACAAACTGAAGCATATTTATTATCACAATTATTACGTTTGTTTTTCGGCTCTCCTCGTGGACTAGTTTCATACGATATTAGCCAAGACTCTTAATAAATTCATGTTTAATTCACTTGAAATTGTAATGTATATTTAAACCCACTACTTTTAAGAAAGTAAGAAACATACTTACACTGTATACGTACTGAAACTCTAATTACATTTATTACATTTTATTAACTAACCAAAACAATTCTTCTAGTAAAAAAAGCTATATGTGCCTGAAAATCCATTTATCAAAATAAATAAGAACTAAAAGTTCAGATTTTCACGAAATTATATATTTTGACATGACAATTGTTTCGACAACACCATGCCTTTATCAAGTGTATCTCAAAATATATAATTTTGTGAAAATCTGAACTTTTAGTTCTTATTTATTTTGCATATAAACTATTACGATTTTTTGTTTTGGTTCTTCACACATTATAGCTCCTTGACATATAACAATATAACAATAACACTTTATTCACGAGTTTGATTTTTGTGAGTTAATTAACGAGTAACTGAAAAAGTCGAACAACTTGAGGTATAGGTACTGTGCTTTTTTCATGACCATTAGTTTTAGGGGAAATTTTTGCAAAACAGCACGAAATCATTTGCTGAGTGACATATGATGTTATCATCAGAAATGACCATCATCCGATCGCTCCCAAACCAGTGACTTAAGTAAAGTTTGTTCATAGATATAAAAAAGTGACTAACTGATACGAATTAAGGAAAGAGCCAGGCAAGCTGTAAGAATGAAATATGGAGGAACACGTCCGTACTTTGCTTAGAATTTAATTATTCAGGGTTTTGTTAGGAAAGATACTAAACAATATTTAGGGATGTTAAAAACTTCGGTTTCTATAAGGTTGAGGACATTCGAGTTAACACGAGGAAAAACATTGTTACGACGAATGGCAGATTTCAGTTGGTGCCAAACATGTTCAATGGGATTAAATATACAGTGGTAAGGTATAAGCCTTAAAACTGTATGCCCTAGATTTTTTGCGTAATTATCACAGACGTATTCCTTTTGTAGGCTCAAGCTTTGTAGAACCTCAATTAATTGCTAATCTTCGTGAAAATAAATGTCGTTATTTTATATGTAGTTTTGGATTGTTGCTTTTGTGTTACATGAGGAAGGGGTTTTAGTCATCTGTCTACTGTGAAAACTTGCATTGTCCATTACAATTAAGCTATTAGTAGGAATGTTTGAAACTAGTTTGTTTGTAAACCAACTTTCAAATAAATCAGCGGTGGTGTCTTCATGGTAATCCAAAGAAGAATCTTTAATATTTTTCGCAGACAGAGAAAGTCCACT